GTAGTAGGTAGTAGGTAGTAGGTAGTAGGTAGTAGGTAGTAGGTAGTAGGTAGTAGGTAGTAGGTAGTAGGTAGTAAGTAGTAGTAGTAGTAGTAGTAGTAGTAGTAGTAGTAGTAGTAGCAGCAGCAGCAGCAGCAGTTGTTGTTGCTGTTGTTGTTGTGTAGTGTGGTGTAGTGTGGTGTGGTGTGGTGTGATGTGTGGTGCGGTTGAACATCCAAAAGTGGTCCGAACGTGGTGTGCCTTTCACATTTTGACTTCGACATGTGCTTCGTGCCACAACCGCGTGCACTTTTTCGACATCTAAACGTCCAAAAGTGGCCCGAGACCGTCAGTTTTAACACTTTTGACTTCGGAATGTGCTTCGCGCCCCAACAGCATGCACTTTTTCAACAGCTCAACTTCCAAATGTGGTCTGAGACCGTCAGTTTTTTGCACTTTTCACTTCGAAATGTGCTTCGCGCCACAACGGCGTGCAATTTTTCATCTCTCATCTGGCTAGATGGCTCCGCACCCGCCGCTTTGGCGAGCCTACTTTTAGACCCTCTGGAGCCACAAAACATTTGAAAAACACAGTGATTCGCGACCTTCTACCTTTTCGCGCACCTGCATCTTCTTTCTTCTGACTCTTTCTCTTCTCTGATCTTCTTTCTTCTTCTCTTCTCTTCTCTTCTCTTCTCTGATTCTTCCCACCTCTGCTTTTTCATCTGTCCATATTGTCGGAAGTTTGACTTCTAAACTTCCATCGATAATTTTAATAAAATCAAATTTGATAAATCAGACAAATGCTCACTACCCATCACCACCCGTCATTACGAGTACAAATCATTTCATGCCTAGTTGATCATTTTTGATCCCATTTGATCCGGTTGGCTGATCGTGCCAGTGCCTGATTCGACGAACCCAGCCATGCCATGCACGACGACAAACATCGTGTCGCAGTCTTGGAATCACGTGGCTCAAGCGCTTCTCCAGCTGCAGGCCAACACCTGAGCATAGCTCACAGGCTGCCAAGGCCAGGCCAGGCCACCAAACAGTTCGAATTTCAGATGCGCAGGGTAAACTGGAAGGAATTGTTCAACTGAACCAGCCTGGATATTCCGTCATACTCACGCAAACACTTCAAAATAGGAAAGCGCTGCGGCAACATTCTGATATATTCTGATCATATCTAATCATGCTGCGCATGCAGTAGAATCTTGTAGAGTCGGTAGAATGTCGTTGCAAACCGAAGGAGGCAGAGATCGATGCAATGCTTTGCCTTCCAAACGCTGCTGGAGTCGCTTGGAGCTCATCCGCAGCAGCCGTACCACACCTCTCTACAAAGATCTGGTCAAGCAATGTCAATGGAGTCAACATTCCAACCAATTTCAACAATGTATATCTGTATATCTATATGTTTTTCTCGAGGTAACGGAAGTGCAAAAGGCATGAAAAAAGGATGCACTTGGCACACATCCTGAACTTACCGCCATGTCTAAGTTTAGTGATAATGATATGACATGCAGCCAGTGCAAAAGCCTACAGTAGTTGTGGTTGTTACATCTTCTGGATGCAAAAGCAGCATATTTTTTCCGCTGCGTCTTCTTGACTGCGCCGTCGAGCACAAGATGATCTCCTTGGCTGGAGCACATCTGTCTACAATGAGCTGGTAATAAGTTCTGGCAGGAAAAAAGACGACGCCAAGAATCACGAAGACACAGGGAAGAAATGAATTAGCTGCCCAACCAAAAGGGGGGTATCAAAACCGGACTCTGAGTGCAGCTGGCAGGCAGTCCGCGTCAGTGTTTGCTTGTTACTTGGTCCAGAGCATCCACTAGGTTATCTGCGCCGGCCTGGGTAGGCGCGCGCTTGTGCCGAGGAGAGATGTTAAAGGCTAAAGGTAAGAAGTGCCGCACTGAAAACTCAACAAAGCTCTTCATGACAATAAGCAGCTGAGGCTATGCAGTCACCAGGCTGTGGTCAACATGTCAACATGTCAACATGTCAACATGTCATACAGCTATTGCCGGCAGGGCCAAACTTTCACCTACCTTTGAAAAAGACTGCTTTTGATAAATCTGTTGAATTTGTTTAAGTATTGTTTTTCAAACGTGTGTCAATTGAAGCAGACTAGGACAAGCCGCATCACTGCGGAGAATTATGTTGCTAGAGTTGTCCCCAGCTGCTTCCCAACAAAGATGGAAACCCAACCTGTGAGCAAGTTCCAATGAATGGCATTGGGAAAACTCTCTTTGAACAGGTCTCATTCGCACCTTGACTTAGATCCGGACTCCAAGGATGCAAACACCAGTGGTGACAACGAGGTTTGCAGCAATAACTGCAATTGTGTACGGCAGCAAGGGTACATCCTAGACGACATTCCCACAGCCATTTCCCGCATCATTCCAGAGGCGCATTTCATGTCATCTTTGACTCATCGTATATGCAGAATCAGACAGGTCGTATGATTTGTTTAGAATAAAGAGTAAAGATAATACCAGGAGTACCGCACAAGGCGGTGGCGGAAGTTTCAAAAAGAGGAAACCTATAGGAGAGGTTGGTTGTTGTGAATCACGGATGGCAGAGCGAAGCCACTGATGGACCGACAGGTGGTTGAGATCTCTTCTCTTTCTCTCTCTTTCTGTCTCTTTCTCTGACTATCTACCTACCTCCCCACCTATCTATCTATGTATCCATATCTCTCTCTCTCTCTGTGTCTGTGTGTCTATCTATCTATTGATCGATCGATCTATCTATCTGTTCATCTACCTATCTACCTATCTACCTATCTATCTATCTATCTATCTGTCTGTCTATCTATCGATCTCTCTCTCTCTATCGATCTATCGATCGATCTATCTACCTATCGATCTATCTATCTATCTGTCTGTCTGTCTATCTATCTATCTATCTATCTATCCGTCTATCTATCCATCTACCTATCGAACTATCGATCTATCTATCTATCTGTCTATCTATCTATCTGTCTGTCTGTCTGTCTATCTATCTGCAAGCGTGAAAACGAAGATATTCTGGGAGACTTCCTCAGTTTTTGAACTTGACAACATCAAAAACGCAGCAATTCTGCGAGACGTCCTCAATTTTTGAACTTGATAACATCAAAAACGAAGCAATTCTGCGAGACTTCCTCATTTTTCGAAATTGACAACATCAAAAACGAAACCATTCTGCGAGACTTCCTTCAAAAATGGAAAGTTGAGTGCAGAGCTGACGGCCTCGTACCAATGCGTTTTGCGATTTTTCCAGTCCACCTGTCTAAAGTACCGCGCCTGCCACGACAAAGTATGAAAAAGTGATGCCAGGTCATACGAAGTGCTGCACCTGTCACGCAAAATCATCTCAGCAAACCTGAAGATCTGATGCTCCAAAATGCAACCCCTCTCAAGAAATCAGCGCCCTGACCTCTTAACATCTCTGATGAACATGTCTCTTGTACTGGGCCTGCCACGGAAAATGCATCTTTGCAGATCCTCTTCAAACGTCCCACGCCTGCCATCGTTTTTGGAAATGCTACAAAACCCTCACCTTTTGCTCACTTTTGACAAGGTGCACAATCCCTTGCGCCTGCCAGGCGAAACGACATCTGAACGTCCAAAAGTGGTCCGAGCATGGTGTTCTTAACATTTTGACTTCGAAATGTGCTTCCCGCCACAACGGCGTGCACTTTTTCGACATCTCAACTTCCAAAAGTGGTCCGGAGCTGGTGTGCTTTGTACATTTTGACTTCGAAATGGGCTTCGCGCCACAACGGCGTGCACTTTTTCGACATCTCAATTTCCAAAAGTGGTCCAAGCATGGTGTGTTTTGTACATTTTGACTTCGAAATGTGCTTCGTGCCACAACGGCGTGCACTTTTTCGACAGCTCAATTTCCGAACGTGGTCCGAGCATGGTGTGTTTTGTACGTTTTGACTTCGAAATGTGCTTCGCGCCACAACGGCGTGCACTTTTTCGACATGTCAACTTCCAAAAGTGGTCCGGAGCTGCGGTGTTTTGTACATTTTGACTTGGAAATGTGCTTCGCGCCACAACGGCGTACAATTTTTAATCTCTCATCTGGCCAGCTGGCTCCGCACCCGCCGCTTTAGCGAGCCTACTTTTCGACCCTCCGGAGCCACAAATTATTGGAAAAACACAGCGTCTCGCGACTTTCCTACCTTTTGGCGCACCTGGATCTTCTTTCTTCTTCTGTTCTCTTCGCTGACTCTTCCCATCTCTGCTTGTCGGAAGATTGACTTCTAAACTTCCTTCGATGACAGTATATGACATAATATTTAGCGTTTAGGAACTCTGTCTAAATCTTCTTCTGTCTGGATTCTATCAATCTTTCCCCAGTTCGAGGTGGCTAACGTTTGAGTCACTGAGAGTCCTCAGGTGGCAGCAGAGCCAAAGCGTAGTTCTTCACTCCAGTGGAGATTGGAGCCAGCCTGAACCACATAAAGTTGCGAACCATCTTGCACAGATTTGCACAGAATGGGGTCCGAAAAGTCTATCAGGTATGTTTCTCTTCAATCCTATTTTGAAAACAAGTCCTGAAGTACTCAAAGCGATACTGCACAAGCTAAACTCAGAGTGCCAACTGTCAAGTCAAAACAATGACTGACTTAGTCATGAGAAAGGCTCAGTATTGTATCAAAACCAAGGAAATGATTTGGACTACTCGAATCGAGCTACAAGTTTTCTATTCCTTTTGGGAACAGGATGGAACAGGTGAATCATCACGTTCATTCAAATCACTGTCTTTGATGTGCTTTGAATGTTTTGATGGAAGATCATGGAAGCTCATCAGAGCGTAGCTTTCTCAGGGTGGATGATGGTGGATGTGGCACGGCACATGACTGGCAGTTGAAAATTGCACGTGCGCAGTTGGCTTTCCATGGCTTGGATTTCCACTGGAAAGCATAAGTAGGATAAGTTGCAAGCGCGAATGCACGAGCTTCTGGTGCCGTGCGAAGCTTTGACCATGTTTGATCAGGTCTCAAGATCTATCAGAATCTATCATAAGAAAGTATCAATATACAGCAGATTGCTAGCTCAACACCTCCAAACCTGTGGCGGTGAAAGCAGTGACTCTGCTGTTCTATGTGCTTCCGCCTTTACGGAACAAGTGAAGAGTTTCCCCACTTGCTCCAAAGTTGCCTGCGGAAGTCTATGGTTTTGAGTTCATGTTAATTTCAGTTAGTGCCAGTCGTCTCAATGATTTCAATAGATCAGATGCAGGACATGGATTGACATTGATTCGGCCACAAGTTTGGGAAGCCATGCTATACAGCGCCTCGCCAGGAAAAGTGCCTTTAGCGGCCGTTTCTGCACGGCGGCCATGTGCCGCTGCAAGGCGGCGGGAAACTCCAAGCCTAATGCCTTGCAGACAGGAAGTCACAAGACTGCTCAATAGTCTCCGAAACGCCTTGCTTGCGTCGAAATATTAAAGCAATCTGCATGCCGAAGATGCTCAAGCGGCTGTAGTTTTCAGCAAATGAGTAGGGATTGAAGGGTTACTTCTGCCAACCAGCACGACTCATAGGTATGGAAATTGCATTTGTATATTCTTGGTTTCCTTACTTGCTGCAGCTGAGAGATAGAGATATTGAGAGAGAGAGAGAGAATGCTTTTGCACAAGCAAAGAGTGCTGTTGAGACAAACCAGGCCTAGGGCCATAGTAACGACTTGTCAAAGAAGACATGAAGAACACTGAACACACAGAAATAAAAAACATTTCTCATAGCCATGAACTCAAATGAAGCGAAAGCAAGACTGGCCTTTCCAAACAATCGGCCTGAGTTGTGTTAAATGGGCTCAAAGGTTCTCGTTTTGTCCAGTGATGTTTGCATCAAGGTCATGACAGAAGTGACATCTAGCACAGGTCTCGTGAGCAGTCCCAGAATACTTCAGTCCCAAACTGTTGATCTCAAGGCGAGAACATACGGATCCATGTTGATCAGCCAGATCAGAAAGCAGCCATGTATTTTCTGCTGACATCGGGTTTTCTCAATTCAAGCCGGGTTGCCGAGGAAAAGCGAAAGCAATGCCTTAGGCCAAGGGCTAGATTGTCAATTGTCAATGTGTTTTTTGTAGACCTAGGTTCAGCCCCGTTCCTGAAGAAGCTTGACTAAAGAGGATGACTAAAGGAAAGATAGTCGAGGCATCGTGAATGCCTTCTCTGCAAACTCAAACATGAATTGAGATCTTGATCTGCTTGCAGGTATCCCAGCCTTTGAAGAACTGCAACAAGTTAAATAATGTTAAATCATGTTAAATCCAAGGTTCACTTACAGTCTTTGCCAGCACACTGGCCACAGTCCCCAAAACTGCACCTTGTCACAGAGCAACAATGAAATGGCTTCCAGGTTGACGATTGAGGACAGCTAAACTCAATTTAGCTCATTTTGCCGTACCCTGTTTGCGTTGAGCTGGATTCCCGATGGTGAACAAGAAGCGACAATGCAAACTTTATTTTTGCATTGCTGGGATGTCTATTGAACTCGTGGAAATGGAATGGAATCTTGCCACAAAAACAAAACATTCTGCTTCAATTTCTACCAGTAGGATTCTGTGTAGCCAGTCAGTCGGTCACATGCTTGGCCGGGCTGACCATAGATGTTTCCGAGTGCCACATCTACGACCTCAGAAGTACCACAGGACAAATAAGTGACACCGGTCGGCGCCCAAGAGACTCCCAACTTGCCTGCTTGCCTTATGTGCCACTAACTAACCAAACATAACCGGACAAACGCACCATTCCCCAAGCTGGAACAAAATTATTCTGCACGCGATTTTTTAGCCTCGAATCAAATGGCGCGTAAGAACCACCCTGGTCAGAGACAGTGGCCGGCAATGGACATAGGACCATTGGCCAAAAGCATGGGAAAACGGCAACCTCTTTCGGTGCTGTGGTAAAGTAACCTCAAACAAGAACTGTGGCAGCTGTTCTGGTGCTTGGTTTGGTGGCTTTAGCCTTGGCGGCGGAAAGGCAGCCGCGCCAAGATGCCACTCCCTGGGGGAAACCCAAGTCACCAAAAAGCCTAGTTCGGAACTGTATCCCTCCCGTGAACAAGCTGTGTGGTCGTCCCATGAAATCAGCTATCAAACAAATCACACAGTGCACAAACGAGGCCTGATCAATACTTTCAAGCGGATGGCAGTGGAAGGCCGTGCGTGAAAAAGAAATTATGTTTTTCATCTTCTGCAGGTGTCAAAGCTTGAAGCACGTTGATACAAATACACCCCTCCGGAGGCAGCAATGCATCGTTTGCAGGCCAGCTAACTTTCGATTCTCAAGATACTTCATGTGCGTAAACTCAAATTCGACGATCAGTCTGCAATACTCAGCCAAGGTTACATTCGGTTACATGTCTAGTCTGTCTACAAAAGCAAACAATTCTCAATATGATACTCTACCAAAAAACTAGACTCGATACTCTACCAAAAAAAACTAGACTCTCGACACGCTTGACCTGTTGACTTTGTGTACATGAATGAGTATATCGATGTTGTATTGTATGCACATGTATGATCATGTATGTACCATGTTGATTTGTATCCGTGGATCAACAAAACTGCAGAGCGCGTCGGCTGTGCAGAACTTTTTCGTCCCGCACTTGAGCCATTTTGCAATGCCGTGTTCATCCTTGCGCAGTGGCCATGCTATGGTTGGTGCATGCCACCACGTGTTTCACATCTTCTAAAGTTTTAAAATCCACACCAGCTGGTGAAGCGCGCACAGAATCGCACTCCCCCCCGCAGCTCGCTCGCTGCGGAAACACAAAAGTTCAGCCACAAATTATGGCTTCGTAGCCCGGCTCTCATTTGAGCTTCATTCGCACGCAGTTTCAGGGCTCCTCCTATTGGCATTCACATCAGTTTCCTCATCCGTCACATTCTTCTACCAGTGGCTGGTATGACCTCGGTGGTGGAGCTGCTTGAGAACTTGAAGGGCGTGTCATAGCGGCAGATGGGCCTGGTTGGGTTCTACCAACTGCACCACTTCTGGTTCCTGGATGTTCCTGGGATTCAGCGCTGGACAAGGTTCCAGTGCCGCTGTTTGCGAGGCACCCATCCAAGTACAGCTTTCCAATCACTGGGGGTGTGCAGTTCATAGGGGCGGCCCACATGCACATCCAGGTCATCATCTCTAGTTGGCTGCGGAGCAGGCCATGGTGGTCCATCCGGCACGGTGGCAGGCTCGAGCTGGATGCTCAGGTTGAAGGTAAAACGCTTTGGTGACACGTTCACCCGTGAGGAACTTGGCATCAGCAGGTGCACTTCTGTGCAAGAGGTGGAATTTCTGCTTCCTGGCGGAGGGTGGATTCGCACCAAATAGACATCTTGGCCACACTTGGTGACCGACCATCCATCCTTTTTGCCAGTTTTGTTGGGACCCCCATAGCGGTCATCTAAACAAGGTCCATGTCCGCCAGCCTTTTTCTGAGCTTTTTCAGCCTCTCTACGGGCTGGTGGCAACTTGGAAAGTGCCCATGCATGGGTCTTGCCGTGCGGGACCCATCAGAGCCAGAGGCGGTGGTATCCCCTTGCATTGCAGCAGCGCACAGCAGCATCATCGGCGGCGCAGAAGCATCATCCAGCGACCACGGCGGCAGCGGCGGCACTGGCTTTGACATCTTATATAGGGGCCATGGCAGCAGGTCGAACGCCGGGACCTTTTGGGCAGCCCGTGGGGCAGTGGTGCTGAAAGGCCAACAGTTGCCCAGAAACTTGGACATGTTGATGCGAGTCACCACTGACGGACTCAAGAGACATGTGCGCCCAGCCACAACTGTTTTCTGCCACGACATCACCCAACAGAGGACCATTTTCCGGGTTACTATCCCAAAAATCTCTTTGACTTTTATGGACTTGGTGATCCCATTCGGGCCTTTCAGAGTTTTCATCCCAAATCGTCCCAAAACTGTTTTCTCCAGGTTCATTTTCCCTTGGAGATTTCACATAGTTGGTGGTTGACATTTGAGGGGTTATTATTCCTCCAGGTTCATTTTCCCTTGGAGGTGTGCTTTCGGCCGGTTCGTCTCCCCTGGCACCTTTTGTTTTCTTGAGGCCAATGGCTCTTGATGGTTTTTCCACCTCCCCTTCCGTCTAAACAGATCTCATTGGATCGACCTTCGTTTGAAGGTGTTGATTGGCAGCTGCAGGCCAGCCATCCAGCGCATGCAGCAGCAGCCATAGCGCAAGCAAGCTGCAAATCCGGCCGAGCAGCAGCCGTGGACGCCACAGCAAGCGCTGCCATAGCCACGATCACCTTTACCTTGGTCACCATTTTCTTAATTTCATCAGGTGCTGAAGTGGCGGTGGGTTTGGAAGACCCTTTGGAAGTTTTTTGAGGTGTGTGTTTCGGGGTCATATTTGGGGGTTGATGCATCAACATGGAAATTAAGGAAATGCCAAAACTTGATCCAATCCCTCAACAGGGTACTGGGTTTAGTGAGCATATCCGCAGGAAGGTCAATCCCTTGTTGGTGTCTGACTTTCCATGTTTGGGGTTCTTTTTTCAACAGTTCACGCCAACATGAGGAACGAAGCTGCAAGCGGCGTGTCCTCCAACCACCATCAAGGTTCATGAGAAGGCTCAGTGCACTTGAGTTATCCAGGTCACATCCGAACCATCATCCCTCATGCACGAACCATGGATTCGGATAACCTTTACAAGGGCCCGAGCAGATTTCAACATTGTGGTGGCTTCGCAATACCCCACCAGCTCGGCCTCCGCCGTGCTCATAATGTGAAATGCTTGCCGAGAGGCTTCCCATTGAATCGGAGATCCTGCAGCACACAGTATGATGCCTTGGTGACTGCGGTCACCTTGAGGAGCGAAGCTGATGTCTGCAAACGCTTCAGCAACATATCATGCCTTGGTGCCTGAAGTGCGCCGCGGGCACCATGGTCCTTGTTGCACGGGCGGTACAAAAGGCAGGTTTCTGGGGCGTTGCACAAAACCCCAACACATGTTGTCCTATTTGGGCTTCTTTGTCAAATTTCTTCCCATGACACTTACTGCATAGGCTATGTCAGATCGCTTGGGCTGCACGGACATCGGGTGTGGTGACATCCGTTTCATCAATTTCGGAACCGTCCAGTTTGGGCATGGGACATGGGGGTAGCACCCTCGTGTCGTTTCAACAGCTCAGCAGTGTAAGGCTTTTGTATCTTTTGTGCTACCATCAAGCTCACCCCATCATCATGTCTTTTCAGCTCAAACCCACAAAACCGGATCCGCTCTTCCTACCGTTTCAACTTCGGAGCATTTCCATTCTTGTTTCAACCGGTCGAAAAAGGAAGTTCGAAGATTGTCATTTGCCAAAGCCATGATATCATCAACTTAACAATGACATGACCTTCACATGTTGGTCCGGTACCAGTGTGACCATGTTTCATAATTTCCAAAGGTTCCCTTCTTCAGTTCTTTTGAGGGAAAAATCACAACCATCCATTTTCCATGTGAACCCGCTCATGGTTTGATCCCTGTGCACCGCCCAGCGCGCGGGGCTTGAAGTGAACCCATACAAGGCATTATGGACCCTCCACCGCTCAGAAGAATTGCAGACTTTGGCTTCAACAAACACTTTTAGGCTTTTAGGGGCACAACAATCACCTCCCGGGCATCATGAGGTTTCGGCCAAGGAGCAAGGAGGGATGTCGGTAACACCAGCACCCCACCCCTTCTGCACGGAGTGAGCCAATGCAGCTCTGATCAGAATGCCATGAGCGACAGAAGCATAGAGATTGCCCGGAGCAGGATCCAAGTCACTTTGCAGCAGGTTTCCACAAACCACTGCCCTACATTTCTTTTCCCCGCCATTTGGACCCGCTTTTCGAACAGTCACAAGTTTTCCCGGAACAAACTCAACAGCTTCTTGGCTCAACACGGAGAGGTCAACAGGTTCAATGGCCTTTGTTTCATGAACCAAACTATTGTATTCTTTTATCATCGCATCTTTCCATTCCCTAAATTCACAACGGACTTCATTCAAGGGAACTGTGGTGGTTTGCAAAGCCTCCCCCGGATCCTTGGCCAAAATATCATCAGCTTGAAGGCCACATATTTTGACAACCCGTTTATTTTGGGCATCTCTGACCCGGAAAAGATCATTCTCGTACTTTTTCCCCTTGAAGCCATTGGATATCAGCCCCACAATTTTCCCCAAGAGCTTTCGTGGTGGGAACAACATCCAACAGATCTTGAAGTGAACCGGGAACATTTTGGTGCATCCAACCCAACCACTTTTCCAAACCATCCAAAGATTCCAGCTTGGCAACAACCCGTGACTTTGACCCAACATCTTTTTCAAGGTTTGGTTTGGTG